ACGTGTGACACACTGGGGTCACACACGCTGCTGGCCGAGGGGCTGCGGGAGTGCCAGAGACACATACAGGTGACACGCGTGGGACACGTGTGTGAGAGACGTGTGAGATGTGTGTGTGACGTGTGTGAGACACCTGGGACAGGTGACACACGTGTGACACACTGGGGTCACGCACGCTGCTGGCCGAGGGGCTGCGGGAGTGCCAGAGACACATACAGGTGACACGCGTGGGACACGTGTGTGCATGTGTGAGACACCTGACACGTGTGAGACGTGTGTGAGACACCTGGGACAGGTGACACACGTGTGTGACACACTGGGGTCACACACGCTGCTGGCCGAGGGGCTGCGGGAGTGCCAGAGACACATACAGGTGACACGCGTGGGACACGCGTGTGACATGTGTAAGACGTGTGTGAGACACCTGGGACAGGTAACACATGTGTGACACGTGTGAGACGTGTGTGAGGCATCTGGGACAGGTAACACATGTGTGACACGTGTGTGACACGTGTGAGACGTGTGTGAGACACCTGGGACAGGTAACACGCCTGTGACGTGCACGTGAGACACGTGTGACGTGTGTGGGACACGCATGGGACGGGTAACACGTGTGATATGCGTGTGACACACGTGTGACACACCTGAGATACACCTGGGACCGGTAACACGGGTGTGACTGACACGCCTGGGACACGTAACACACGTGTGACCCAGCGGGGTCACACACGCTGCTGGCCGAGGGGCTGCGGGAGTGCCGGAGGCACATACAGGTAACACGCGTGTGACATGCGTGTGACGTGTGTGTGAGACACGTGAGACAGGTAACACACATATGACACACCTGGGACAGGTAACACACGTGTGACACACATCTGACACATGTGACAGACACGCCTGGGGACGTTTCATTGGAGCCACACCGACTCATGTGTCTCATGTGTCCCTCACGTGTCCCTCACGTGTCCCTCATGTGTCCCTCCCGTGTTGTTCCCATGTCCCTCCTGTGTCGTTCCCGTGTCCTTCCCGTGTTTTTCCCATGTCCTTCCCGTGTCCCTCCTGTGTCCTTCCCATGTTGTTCCTGTGTCATTCCCATGTCTCATGTGTCTCACGTGTCTCACGTGTCCTTTCCATGTCGTTCCCGTGTCGTTCCCGTCTCTCGTGTGTCTCACGTGTCTCACGTGTCCTTTCCATGTCGTTCCCGTGTCGTTCCCGTCTCTCACGTGTGTCTCATGTGTCCTTTCCATGTCATTTCCGTGTCATTCCCGTCTCTCACGTGTCTCACGTGTCCTTTCCATGTCGTTCCCGTGTCGTTCCCGTCTCTCACGTGTGTCTCATGTGTCCTTTCCATGTCCTTCCCGTGTCATTCCCGTCTCTCACGTGTCTCACGTGTCTCACATGTCCTTTCCATGTCGTTGCCGTGTCGTTGGCGTGTCGTTGGCGTGTCAGGACCCGCGGCTGCTGCGGCCGTTCCTGGACCAGACGCTGACGTCGCGCCTGGGGATGCGGATGCTGGCGGCGCATCACCTGGGGCTGCACGAGGAGAGGGTGAGACCTATGGATTCCATACGTCCCATTGATCCTATACATCCCTGAGCTCACCCATGGATCCCATGGATCCCATGGATTCCATACATCCCATGGATCCCATTGATCATATGGATCCCATGGATCCCCTGTGCACCACCTGGGGCTGCACGAGGAGAGGGTGAGACCTATGGATTCCATACATCCCGTTGATCCTATACATCCCTGAGCTCACCTATGGATCCCATGGATCCCATGGATCATATGGATCCCATGGATCCCATGAATTCCATACATCCCATGGATCCCATGGATCCTATGGATCCCATGGATCCTATGGATCCCCTGTGCACCACCTGGGGCTGCACGAGGAGAGGGTGAGACCTATGGATTCCATACATCCCGTACATCCTATAGACACCTGAGCTCACCTATGGATCCCATGGATTCCATACATCCCATGGATCCCATGGATCCTATAGATCCTATACATCCCATGGATCCCATGGATCCTATGGATCCCCTGTGCACCACCTGGGGCTGCACGAGGAGAGGGTGAGACCTATGGATTCCATACATCCCAATGATCCTATAGACACCTGAGCTCACCTATGGATCCCATGGATTCCATGGATCCCATTGATCCCATGGATCCCATGGATCCTATACATCCTATGGATCCCATACATCCTATGGATCCCAGAGCTCCCCTGTTCAGGTCTACCAGGTAAATTTTCCCCCAATTTTTCCCCATTTTCCCCCATTTTTTCCCCAAATTTTCCCAAAATTCCCGATTTTCCCCAATTATTCCCTCATTTTTCCCAAAATTCCCATTTTTCCCCCAATTTTTCCTTCATTTTATCCAAAATTGCCAATTTTCCCCCATTTTTCCCAAATTTTCCCCAATTTTTTCCCTAATTTTTACCATTTTTTCCCCAATTTTTCCCCCATTTTTCCCAAATTTTCCCTAATTTCCCCCCATTTTTCCAAAATTCCCAATTTTCCCTCATTTTTTCCAAATTTTCCCCAATTTTTTCCCCCTTTTTTCAAAAATTCCCAGTTTTTTCCCAATTTTCCCCCGTTTTCCCCCAATTTTTCCCTCATTTTTCTCGTAATTCCCAATTTTTTCCCAAATTTTCCCCCAATTTTTCCCATTTTTCCCCAAATTCCCAAATTTTCCCCAATTTTTACCCCTTTTTTCCAAAACACCCAAATTTTCCCCCAATTTTCCCCCATTTTCCCCCAATTTTCCCCCATTTTCCCCAAATTTTTCCCTCATTTTTCCCAAAATTTTCCCAATTTTCCCCTAATTTTTCCAAATTTTTCCAATTTTTTCCCTATTTTCCCCAATTTTCCCCCCAAATATTTTCTGCAATTTTTCCCAAAATTTCCCCATTTTCTTCCCAATTTCCCCCAAATTTTCCCCAATTTTTCCCCAATTGACCCCCAATTTTTCCTTACGTTCCCACTATTTCCCCAAAATTTTCCCAATTTTTACCAAAATTTCCCCATTTTCTTCCCAATTTTTCCCCAAATTTTTTCCCCCATTTCCCCTCAATTTCCCCC